AGTCTTTTCTCACTTGTCCGCTTTTTGAGAATTCTGATCTTCCTTGAGGCATCCGGTTCTTGGCTGACAAATCCTGAGGAGTCATTCTCAGTCTTCCGGGTGAGAAAAAGATTCGCGCTATTCTTCCGGCTTGGGTGACTTAGCCTTCAGCGGATTGTAGCGAGACATCCGGTTCTCATATAGTTTTCCGGATTTGAGGATTTACATCTGCTTTGAGAAATCCTTACTTGTCTCTGACATTTCCGATCAAGATATCCAATTTCCATATCACTGTCTTCAGGCATCAAAACGCTTAAAGAAATATCACAACTTTATTGGAAATCTCAAGAACTCGGTTTTGACAATATTTCTAAAAAGAAAAATTACATTGAATATTGGGGGAGACCTTAAGTCCCTATTACATTCTAAATACATCATCATCAAAATCTATAATATTTTCCCAACATGCACTGTCATGTACTCAGCCTCAGCAGAGCATAGTACGATGTATGTTAAGTTGGTTACGGGAACCGCCATAGCGTGGTCGCTGTCGTACGTTGGGTTAGACTTAACAGAGTATCGGTCAAATGGATGGATGATTTTACTCACTCATCCAGCCAGGAGTTGGATCTTTATGATTTAATTGGAACTCTGTTCCTAACCAAAGTAGTCTGCTTCTAAGACGTGCCTCAGCCAATTACAAGTATGGTGAAAAGGTGTCCTGGTCCGATTGTAGTAATATTGTTCGCCCAACACCAGACCAAGAGCTGAGAGCCCGGCTCATCAGTTGGAATTATGTTCCTACCTAAATAGTTGTCTTGTGGAGTAACGCCCAAGCGGAACGCAAGATAATGAAATATGGATCTTGGCCCGCTAGAGGTTTCGCCGGAAATCTCCGAATCAATATCGAGGGTTATTGATTTGTTAAAAATAGTGGGAGATAATTAATTAAATGCCTAATTAATTATTAAGCATGATAGATAACCTAGTTTGCAAAATTTTCTGTAGATGGCAAACAACAACAACCCTTTCCACCTGCGTTACATCCTGGAAAACAACAAGTTATCCGGGAACAACTTTCTTGACTGGGAGATGAACCTCCGAATCGTTTCTAACTGTGAGAGGAAACTCTACATCCTCGAAACGGATCCTCCCAAGACCCCTGATTCTAATGCTCGTGCGTCCGAACTCACTTCCTTCAGGAAGTATGAGGACGACGCGCGAGATGTAAAGTGCATCATTATGGCCAGTATGACCGCGGAGCTCCAAAGGCTCCACGCGGACATGGAAGTGCGTCCTATGATTCAACGCTTAATAGACCTTTACCAGGGTAGCCCCAAAACTCAAGTATTTACGTTATCGAAGTCAATATGTCTGATATCACTTCCTGAATGATGGATACTGGATGTGGTTCTCACATCTGTACTTCTATGCAGAACTTGCATGAATGTAGACAATTGACGGAGGGAGAGATACAACTAAAAGTCGGCAATGGCGCACTTGCCTATGCATTGGCCGTCGGAACCTATAGTTTATCTCTACCTAGTGGTCTTGTATTGCAGTTAAATAATTGTCTGTTTGTACCTAGTATGAGCAGAAACATCATTTCTGTATCCTGCCTTGACAAATCAGGATTTTCGTTCGTTGTAAAAGACAAAACTCTTTTTGTCTTTAGAAATGATATATTTTATGCAACTGCAAAAATGACCAACGGTCTCTATGTCCTTGACATGGATACCGCATATATAACGTAGATGTTAAGAGAAACAAACCTAACAGTTTGAATCTCGCGTACCTTTGGCATTGTCGTTTGGGCCACATTAACGAGAAACACATATCTAAGTTACATCGTTCCGGTGTACTTGATTCATTTGACTTCCAGTCATATGATGTATGTAAATCTTGTTTACTTGGTAAAATGACAAAGGCTCCATTCACCGGTCATGGTGAAAGGGCGAGTGACTTATTGGGCCTCATACACTCCGATGTGTGTGGTCCAATTAGCACTGTTGCTAGATGTGGTTATTCTTACTTCGTTACATTTACTGACGACCTTAGTAGATATGGATAGGTGTATCTCATGAAACACAAATCGGAATGCTTTGACAAATTCAAAGAATTCAAGAACGAAGTAGAAAAACAATTAGGCAAAAGTATTAAGACCCTCCGCTCGGATCGAGGAGGTGAATGCTTAAGCCTGGAGTTCGATGACTATCTGAAAGAGCATGGGATCTTATCCCAACTCACTCCGCCGGGGACACCTTAGTTAAATGAAGTGTCTGAGAGGAGAAATCAGACTTTGCTAGACATGGTCCGGAGCATGATTAGTCTGACAACATTGCCAGAATCATTTTGTGGATATGCATTGAAAACAGCAGCACACACACTCAACAGATTTCCATCTAAAGCTGTCGAGAGCACACCATACGGACTATGGCGTGGGAGAAAACCGAGTTTCTCGTACTTTAAGATTTGGGGCTGTGAAGCTTATGTAAAACGTCTCATGACGTCTAGTAAGTTGGAGCCTAAATCTGATAAAGTAATTTTTGTGGGATACCCCAAGAAAACTAGAGGGTATGAGTTCTATCATCCATCTGATAACAAATTTTTTGTTGCTCGGAATGGAACCTTCCTTGGAAGGAGTTTCTTTCTGCTATCACTAGTGGGAGAAAGGTAGACCTCGAAGAAATTCGAGAACCACAAGAAGAAGTCCCGATAGTGTTGGAACCAGAGCAAAGAGATCAAGCAATTGAACCTCAAATTGCTCAAGATATACCATGTAGGTCAGACCGAATACGTAATCCTCCGGTTAGATATGGATTTCTCATGTCTGATGAAGGTGACGTCTTATTGGTAGATCAAGGCGAACCAAAGACCTATCTCGAGGCAATTACATGCCCCGAATCCGATCTATGGCTCGAAGCTATGAAATCTGAAATGGAGTCTATGTACACAAACCAAGTTTGGACCTTGGTTGATGCGCCCGAAGGGGTAAAACCCATTGGATGCAAGTGGGTCTTCAAAAAGAAGACAGACGTAGACGGGAAGGTTCATACCTTCAAAGCTCGATTGGTAGCAAAAGGTTATAGGCAAATCCACGGAATTGACTATGATGAAACCTTTTCTCCAGTTGTTATGCTGAAATCCATTCGGATAATGCTTGCGATTGCAGCCTATTACGATTACAAAATTTGGCAGATGGACGTCAAGACGGCTTTCCTTAACGGGAACCTCAAAGAGGATGTCTTCATGACACAGCCTGACGGTTTTCAAATTGCTGGTCAGTCTGCTAAAGTTTGTAAACTGCAACGTTCAATCTACGGATTGAAACACGCATCTCGGAGTTGGTATATACGTTTCGATGAAACCATTTCCAGTTTTGGTTTCGAGAAGAACTCTGACGAATCTTGTGTCTACAAGAAGGTCAGTGGGAGTGTAATAGTATTCCTAATCTTATATGTCGATGACATATTGTTAATGGGTAACGATATTCCCGCTCTCACTTCTGTAAAGACGTGGTTGAGCGAGAACTTCTCCATGAAAGACTTAGGGGATGCTAGTTATGTCCTTGGCATAAGAATCTACCGAGATAGATCAAGAAAGTTAATTGGTCTGAATCAAAGTACATATATAGATAAAATCCTTGATCTATTTAGCGTGTCTAACTCAAAGAAAGGATCTTTACCTATGACACCTGCCACGGTTCTTTCCAAGAGCCAAAGTCCTTCTACTCCCGAGCATTAGGAACTCATGATGAAGGTTCCATACGCCTCTGCGATTGGATCCATCATGTACGCCATGATATGTACTAGATCTGATGTCTCATTCGCTTTAAGTGTGACCAGCAGATACCAGGGAAGTCCAGGAGAAGCACACTGGACAGCGGTCAAAAACATCCTCAAGTATCTTCGCAATACTAAGGATGCATTCCTGGTATACGGTGGTGAGGAAGAGCTGAAGGTGGTCGGTTACACTGATGCTAGCTTCCAAACCGACAGAGACGATTCAAAATCACAAGCAAGATATTTGTTTTGCCTGAATGGCGGAGCTTTTAGCTGGAAGAGCTTCAAGGAGGATACAACCGCCGATTCGACTACAGAGGCTGAGTACATAGCTGCCGCCGAGGCAGCTAAAGAAGCTGTTTGGATCAAGAAGTTCATTACTGAACTTGGAGTGGTTCCTAGTATTAATGACCCTATCTCGTTGTTTTGCGACAACACTGGGGCCATTGCACAGGCAAAGGAACCGCGATCTCACCAGAAAACCAAACACATT